TCGATAGATTATAATGTACCATCCTGTTTACAAACAGAGTTTTCGAGATATATTTTAAGTCTTTCTGCCGTCTGGTACTCGTTACTCGTCCTTGATTTTTGAACGTGGACGCACGCCAATAATAGTTAATGTTTATTATATCTCTTATTGCATGCCAATAATGGTTATTGTTTATTATTGAACCACGTGCTCGATTTCATTGTGATTGTCTGTGTTTGATTCAGTTGGTGAACGATTACTTTGTTGAAGTTGTTTTTCGTGGCAAATCTGCGTTGCTGCTTATTTTTGTTTAACCTACAGGTGAATCACGTTTGTTATCGAGGCCATTGGGCGCTGTAGGGTTTTGACTTTTCACACATAATACTTGCAAATAGCGGGGCTTCGGCGTTTACTGTTGGTGCGTAACGTTTATCTAGTCATGAAAACACTCAACTTTCGTTGACCGGATTCGCTGACGGAATATTTTATAAATCCTTCATTGTTACAAATAAGGACTCTACACAGACAAGTTCCGAATAACTCAAACTTACATATATGCACGATACAATTATAAAATATGTTATCTCCGCGATTCCCGAATGAACTATCATACAAATGTCACGAATTATAATTTTTATATTTTACTATTGAAAAAAGTCGAAAAATTACGAATGGAACATACGTATGGATATTTATAGATTTTAACTATGATTATTAAAAGTAAATAATTGACGCGCGATTAACAGCGTACTAGTTCAATTGTCTTTTTATTCTCGTTTGTTTCCTGAATCACACATTTGTGAAATTTATATTTATACTGCAATTTTACAGAAAAGTCAAAGTGAATAAAAAAGGGCAAGCACGTTATGCATGAAATGCATTGAATATCTTGATAATATAACACAAAATTTAAAAAATATTAACTAGATATACTAATATGTTTATTGTAAGACATTATTATGTATGTGTGTGAATGAATTTTATATTATCGCTTAGATGTTATCAAATATGATTTCACCTATTTAGCGCATAATATCATATAATGTAATAATATATTATAAAATTTAAGATTGACATATATACAACTAGGGGCCTGTAAAATTTTAACGACAATTGTAAAGCGCGTATAACTAAACTAAAAAATGTTTTATACAATATTAATAAAAATTATTGAATCAATACGTCTGAAAACATATTCGGTCATTAATTTGACAGAAATAAATTGCTAACAAAGAAATTGGATCGGACAAAGTTTATACGGGCTTTTAAGGCCTCCGAGATACATATGTAAGATCGAAATTCTCAGTTTTTGCCAGTGGAGAGGATCTGCAGTGGCCTGATATATTTTATACCTGCCTGATATCCCCACATTATCAATGTATTCTATTAAGGATTTTGCGTATATATATTGCATATTTGTACGCGCTATTTGTACAGAAATTTCAAATGTATATTTTCTGAATTATCTATCCATCATCAAAATACTCGATAGATTATAATGTACCATCCTGTTTACAAACAGAGTTTTACATATATATATATATATACATGTTACATATATATATATATATATATGCAATATATATATATGTATATATATATATATGGGGCATTCTTTGCGAAACCGACCACCCTTGCTCGCCAAATTTGGTTTCAAACAAAAAATTTTTTCCGGGGCTGAAAATTTTCTTTATGATATCTACTTTCATTAGCCTTGTGGCTAACCGTGTGGCCTTTTCGAAAATTCTCAATGGTGGAAAATTCAGAATGGCGCCAGCAAACGCGGAAGAAGGGGAAAAAATTAGAATTATTCTTTCTCTCCACGATTGGTTTCAACAAAAAAAATGTTTCCGGGATTCTAAATATTCTTTGTGATATAGACATTCATTAGTCGTGTGACCTTTTTGAGAATTCAACATGGCGGATCCAATATGGCGGATGAAACATCAAAACTGAAAATTTTATAGTTGCAAAAATATGATCATATTCTATGTCAAATTTTGAATACAAATGCTCTCTTGCGATTTTTCGACTAACGCATCGTTGTCGAAAGAAAAATTCATGAGCATTAAAATGTTAGTTAAACCTAGAAAAGCTGAATTTCAAATGTCGTATCGAAGAGTGTAGAACCCATCAGATAAAAATTGCGGTCGTGATGAGAATATTTTGGAGTGGCTAAATATAAATCCGAGATGAAAATTGCTAACAAGGAGATGACGCAACCTGTTTCATCGATTTCAACACGAGTCATAGCACACTCGATAGCTATGATGCTGTGTATAAACGCCCTAACATAATATGCGTGAATGCGTCTTTGTTTACGAGTAATTTGCAATTAAAGTTTGGCTCGCGGAGCCGTGCCCCACATAGGGCGCAAGTTACGACACTCTTTCACGAATCCGGCGTGGCTGAGCAGACAGAGGCTCCCGCGCCACGAACACTTTTGCGCCGACGACGGCGTTCGAATCCCGCCGACGATTGGTTCGTTTTTTTTTTCGTATGTAGACATGTAATAAATATTTTTATATTGTTCTTATGTATAATTCCTTTTTTTGTTTCTACGCTATTAATCAAGGCTAATTAGAAGAGTCAGGTCTTTCAAATATGAACACAACTTTTTTATTAATTACAATAAAATGTTTTTTTCGCGTAAATCTATTTCGCATAAATATTTCGTATGGTATGGGAAAGAAATGGCCAGACTGATTATTTTGTGTGAGAGAAACCCGAGAGCCGTTAGAACCGTTACAAGTGGAAAGGAACCCTCTTCCCTTTTCCCTTCTCGCAGAGGGATTCTCATGTTTTGTGACGTGCTCTCTTCATTCTCTGGGCAGTCTTCGTAACGTGAACAGTGAAAAACTCGTGTTAAAAATGGAAACTACGTTTGTAGATGAAGCAACGATCAACTATGTGCAAAATCTAGCAAAATGTGATATTACGAAAGAAGTGTTGACGAACGCAATAGAATATCTTCGAGGTAAATATATTGAATGTGTGAGCAATGGAAAGATATACTTGTACGTATTGTTATTGGCTTTGTATACAATATCAATTATATTGAATTCATATTTGCAGATGTCTTGATACAATTTCCGTCCAGTCTTGTTGACAGTCGCGAAGTATTTTACAACATCAATCAAATATGTTTTCCACAAACTATACATAGTCAAAAGTGTATTTGTGCAAAAAATTATGCGTTCATTACGTGCAGTTGGTGCAAAAAACTATTATGTTTTACATGCTTTTATACGGCATTCCATCCGCAAAGTTGCAACAGCATGACCATATTTTATAATACGTAACTTTCATTTGTGTGCCTTATATTTGCCTTATGTGTGTGTGTGTATGTGTTTTGATATGGACAAAAACATTTTATTGTAATTAATAAAAAAGTTGTGTTCATATTTGAAAGACCTGACTCTCCTAATTAGCCTTGATTAATAGCGTAGAAACAAAAAAAGGAATTATACATAAGAATAATATAAAAATATTTATTACATGTCTTTACATACGAAAAAAAAACGAACCAGTCGTCGGCGGGACTCGAACGCCGTCGTCGGCGCAAAAGTGTTCGTGGCGCGGGAGCCTCTGTCTGCTCAGCCACGCCGGATTCGTGAAAGAGTGTCGTAACTTGCGCCCTATGTGGGGCACGGCTCCGCGAGCCAAACTTTAATTGCAAATTACTCGTAAACAAAGACGCATTCACGTATATTATGTTAGGGCGTTTATACACAGCATCATAGCTATCGAGTGTGCTATGACTCGTGTTGAAATCGATGAAACAGGTTGCGTCATCTCCTTGTCAGCAACTGTTGGCGGTGTGCGGCGTAGGTCTAGCGAGATAAAACGAATAGCGGCGCATTATCCTTCCCCTCATCCTCCCCCTATGTCGGCGCGCTCCTACTCCTCAGATTACTGTCATTAATAACTCGATAATTATTGCGAATCGTGCAAAACGCTATGAGACTTTTATATTTGTCTTAACTCAATCTACTTTTATACTTCGGATTGGCAACTTATAACCGGCCACCCTGTAAATGCGCGTTTTCGTCCGACAGATTTCTGTCATTAATAACTCAATAATTATTGCGAATCTCGCAAAACGGTATGGGACTTTTATGTTTATCTTAATCCAATCTTCGCACTTCGGGTTGTAAACTTATAACCATCCATCCTGTAATGTGATTGCGTAGATCATAGTTTTTATAATATGTAATGTTCTCAAATTATTGATCTCTCTTTTCTATTTCATGAAAGCCTGTTATTTACGTCCAGTGTTGTTATTAACCCGGAATAATAGTTTTGTTTATGTAAAAATACAAAAATATCCGGAACTTTTAATTGCGTTATATCATATTTATATTTGTTACCAATTTAAATTCAAGTGCTCAACAGGTACCATCACTCTCACAAGCTAATCGGAAGCGCATCATCCCACGTAAGACCTTCCCGCTAGAGTTGCTGCATAAATACTTTCGCTGTAATAATGATCGGAGTGACCCTGCCGAGCGGATCATAAATTTTAGCAATCGCCTACAGAATAGACCGTTTGCTTTCTGGAACGCATCCCTCGAGAGACCCTCACCTCGAAATTATCTCGCGTGAGATTCCATCCAATGCCAAGAATTTTCACCTTCTCGTCAACATGCAAGGACGTAGTGCATACCAAACCATGATCGCGAGCATCAATGTCCGCGAGAAGCTTCGACGAATTACTTGCCCACTTCCGGAGCTGGAAGCCGCCACACCGAAGCAAAGCATCCAGCTGTCGACGCACGTGAAAAAGACGATCGCGGTCGCCGTCTCGGAATAATAGATCGTCGACGTAAATATTATGTCGCAGCAACGGAACCGCAAGAGGAAAGCGAGATCCCTCGTCGTCGGCGAGCTGACCAAGTACACGCAACGCCAAAAAAGGAGCGCAAACCATTCCGTATGTGACTGTCAGCAATTGATATTCATTCATCGAGTCACTTTTCCACAGAATGCACTGGTAACCCACATCTCGCTCGTCTACCCAGATTTGACGATACATCTTGGCAATGTCCGCGCTGTACACGAATTTATGAATTCGTCATCGCAATATTACCGCCGGAAGATCGATTTGCAGCTTTGGATCAGACAGAAGATTATCGTTTAGACTACGACCAGTTGCCGTGCGGCTAGAGCGTTGAACACGACTCGCAAATGACTTGTTTGACTGTCAGAACGATAAACGGGATGATGCGGCATGTAAACAGCGCGTGACCCAATAGCATTCGTGACCGGCACTCGGCGCATATGGCCAAGACGCTCGCAATCATCGAGAAATGCGGCATATTCGGCGAATTGCTGGGGGTAAGCATGCAAGCGACGCATTAGTGACTCGAGTTGACAAGCGGCCTTCATTTTAGAATCTCCCAAGTCGAGCGGAGGGCTCGTTTTGAACGGGAGACGAACGACATATCGGCTGCCCTTGCGAGAGTGCGTGGATCGAAAGTGATCCTCGCATTGAATATTCTCTTTGGTGAGAAACGAGTGTTTGGGAAGCTCCTCAATTTTCCAAAATTGCTCAATTTCTTTAGTGAGAGTCGCTGTGTCGCAACAATGGTGCACGGCTATATTGAATGCAGCCGTCTCGTCACCTGCAACGTCCGGCGACAAAGAGGGTATCGCCGACGAAACTATAGGGCCTGAGAATAACCATCCAAAAATTGACTTCTGCGCTGTTGGTTCACCGAGGCGGCCTTCACGACGCTCATTGTAGAGATCACAGCCGATGATGATGTTAATAGGATCGGCACTAGTGGGATTAGGATCTGCCCATGGTAAATCAACCAGATGTGGATAACCTGAAAGAGATTCAACGTGTTTCGGTGCGTAATGCGTAAGCTTTCCTAATATGGCGGCTTTCGTGTGATACGAGGGAGACATCGAGTCACGCGGCGAAACAGAAATATCCATGGTATAACGAACTGTGCCCGCATGAACTCCGCCGACGGCCGATACCTGGACAGAAATACGCCGTCGTTTCGCATGCAGTAATTGCGCCAAGTTCTCGGATACGAAGGTCATCTGTGAGCCCTGATTCAGGAGAGCTCGGACGACGATTGTTCGACCGCTCGACCCGATGACCCTCACCCAGGCGGTCGCTAAAAGTATTTGCTTAACAGACCACACAATAGAAGAAGCGTGCAAGGACTGCACCGCGCTTGGTGCTTCGACCGTCTGAGATGACAGCCCCGGATTCGACTCTACTACAAAACGATCTCTAACCGAGTCTGCGCTAGCGTGAAGCAGACTATGATGTCTTTGCTGACAAATTCGACAGGAGTGTTTACTGTTACACTCGTTTACCGAATGATTCGGACTTAGACAGTTATAACATTGCTGATACCGCTTCACGAAATCGCGTCTTCGGAAAAGATGCCCGCGCACAAATGTCGGACAAGCACTAAAATAATGGCGCCCCTTACATATCGAACATCCGTTGACTGCAAGCGTCGACGCAGCAGCAACATGAACCCGCGACACAGGAGAAGACTTCACCGTCGTAACGTTCGAAGATCCGACGGCGAAATCCTCGAGAGCACGCGTGCGACTGGTAAGGAATAAATTGAGAGCTTCAAACGTCAGCGGATCACTACTCTCACTCATTCGGACATTCCAGGCCTTCCTGGTTACCGGATCCAATTTGTTACTGACTATGTGTACGAGAATATCATTCCAGAGGTCTGCTGGAGAGCGATGTAAAGTTTGCAAAGAAGCTACCGCGATATTCACGTCATCGTGAAGTGCTTGCAAATCGCATACAGACTCACGCGAAATCGATTTGAGATTGAGCAACGCAGATAAATGTTTTGTGATCAGCCGCCATTTGTTCTCGTATCGCGTGAGTAACGCCTGTCATGTCGTTCCAAAATTATCGGCGGTAACCGGAATATTCCCGATATACTCGAGCGCACGACCTTTTACGCATGACGTTAGATAGTACATTCGCACGAAATCGTCTAAATCGCGATTACTGATAATGAGCACGGTAAAATGATCTCGGAATTGCTTCCATTCTTCATAGCAGCCTTCGAATGGCGGCAAACGGATGGGAGGCAAATATGGGAATAATACAGAATGCGCACGAGACTGAGAAGAATTACCGGAGGCATATGGACTCATTGGCGGCTGTAGTTCCTCCAAGCACTCGGTTAGGAAGTCGTGCGTAGCTTCGAACACTTTCTCGGTGGCCTCGCAGTAGTGGTCTCGGAAATAGTCGATCGCCCCTCGGGATGCTTCCGGCGTGGCCTTGGTTAGGAGGGCGTGCCCGTCCAAGAATTGCGACCAGGTTTCCTTGAGGATTGTCAGCCTTGAGCGGACCTTTCCGAACATCAAATTATTTTTGCCGATTTTTTTGATATTTTCGATCATGCGATCGATCACGCGCTTCCACTGAAGCTATTTTGTGAGCAATTCAACCATCCTGATTGAATATCGAGTCTTCGTCGTCCTCTTCACCTGTGTTGCACACTCTCGAATCCGGCTCGAAGGACCAAATGTTGCGGGTTGAGTCCGAGTCGCTCCAACCCTTGAATGCCGAGATCACCCAGATCTTGGGCGCGAGAGTGATTGCAGATCGAGCCGAATGTAGTCAGCCAAAGGAGAGGACCGATCGTTTCTTTTATTAATGAGTTGCTTGATTCCGGGTTTCAGATGCGGTTTATTTCGTTGATGACTAATTACAGCGATTCGCAAGTCGAATGGTATCGAATACAAATCGTCTCGGAAAGCATCGTTGACTGAGCGCAAACACCGATTATAATTTTCCACGTGTCACGAAACATTAATCAGTGCGATAGATGTTTCCCAGCGAGAAAATAACCAAAGAAACCTGAGAAATGAGATCAGGCGCCCGAGCGACGCGGTTTCGATGCACTGCAGTAGCAGAACGGATCCTCGAGAGTTGAATCTGAAATCTGATCCAAAATCTGTCGCTACGAAATCGACCGTGATATTTATAATCTCATATATGTGATGCGGCTTGAGCCGATTGGCAGATTCGAATAAATCATTGTTTAGCTGACACAGAGATCGAGGTGATAACCATTGTTTTGCTGTTAATCACGAGATATTAGATTCTCGCACTTTCCGTCTAATGGCAAGAATGTTATTGTCACGGAGACAATGATACATTGTAATGCGCCGAGACAACACCAAACGGTAAAACAAAGATCGAGCAAATAATTCGCTTGTAAACATGGGCGATTTACCCGAGCGGTGACTCGATGTTACCGGCTTCTGCGAGAATCCTCTGGGAGATTTTAACGAGCATATGAAACCGCAGATGCTTTTCCAATTTGGAACAACCACCTTTGCAACGAATATGTGCCATAAATGTAACATTTATTTTTCGTTTATATGCAAATACTGTATTGATTTGTTTATTACTATTGTGAAATATATATAATAACGTGTTATTCTTTTATAATTTATTGTATTGTTCCTCTCTATCCTATAAATTATTACTCCATAATTTTTGTTAAGCCCTTCGTTATGTTTCATTCAGCAATTAATAAAATATATTGTATTGTCACACTACACGCTTGCAGAGGTAATATAACGTCGGCCTAATTAGAAAACCTCTTAATTTCAATTTTTGACAAAATTGAGACTCATTTTATTCAATCAAAGTCGACGAGATAAATCGAACAAAATGAGTATCTTAATTTTGTCAAAAATTGAAGTTAGGAGGTTTTCTAATTAGGCTGATGATAATGTGTTTCATTATTTCACGTGCATTGCATGAAATGCTTTTTTAATTATTTTAATTATCCTTAATCGACATATCTTTCAGATTGTAGTGAACATAAATTTCACACATTAAATGAAGAAAATATACATTTGGAGCTTTTGTACAAATAGCGATGCTACACACACATTTGCTACTGTTATATATGCAAATTATTCTGTTGTTCACGTTTTCATAAAGCATTTTTATTTCGTGTAATATTGTACGAGGGTGGTCCGATAAGTACTTAGCCTACAAAAGAAAAACGAAAATTTTGGAAAAGTGGCGATTTATTTCTCAACATAGTCTCCTTTTAGCTCGATATACTTGACCCAGCGATGCTCCAACTTCTTTAACCCGTCTGAAAAATACGTTTTCTCGAGGTCTGCAAAGTAGGCCTCCGTGGCGGCGATGACCTCCTTATTCGACTCAAATTTCTGCCCGGCGAGTGACTTTTTCAAGTTTGGAAACAAAAAGAAGTCGCACGGGGCCAAATCTGGAGAATACGGTGGATAGGGCAGCAGTTCGTAGCCCAATTCGACCAATTTGACCGTGGCGAGGGCGGAGGTGTGAGCCGGTGCGTTGTCATGGTGGAAGAGCACTTTTTTCTTCGCCAAATGGGACCGTTTTTTCTGCAATTCGGCGTCGAATCGGCCTAATAATTTGGCATAGTACAGCCCTGTGACCGTTTTGCCCTTCTCCAGGTAGTCGATGTAGATCACACCTTGTGAATCCCAGAAAACGGTGGCCATCACCTTTCCGGCCGATAGAACAGTCTTCGCCTTCTTCGGAGCACGTTCGCCGGGTGAAGTCCACTGTTTCGACTGTTCCTTGGTCTCTGGTGTGTACCAGTGGATCCATGTTTCGTCGACAGTCACGAAAAGACGCAGAAACTCCTTCGGATTGCGCTTAAACAGCGTCAAACACTGCTCTGAAGTGGTCTCACGGTTGCGCTTGTTGTCCGGAGTGAGCAAACGCGGCACCCATCGCGCCGACAGCTTTCTCATGCCCAAAATTTCATGCAGGATATGACCCACGCGGTCTTTTGAGATGTCTACTGTCTCAGCTATCTCGCGCATCTTCAATCGGTGGTCTGCCAATACGAGATCGTGGATTTTTGTCATGTTATCCTCCGTGGTAGCCGTTTTCGGGGCACCTGGGCGTGGCTCATCAAAAACCGACGTGCGACCACGTTGAAACTCGTTAAACCAATTTTTGACGGTCGCCATCGAAGGAGAAGAGTCACCGTACACAGCATCCAAGCGCTCTTTGATTTCGCTGCGCGATTTCCCTTCCAAAAACAAGAATCGAACCACCGACCGATATTGCTCTTTTTCCATTTTTCTAAAATCCGCGGACACGCCCGCTTCCACACGCGGTCAAAACAAAACTACGAGTCCGATTCGGCTGAAATTTCGACAGTAGCCATCTACGAGAATGTACTACACGATAGTAAATTTCTCTTGCGATAGTGGCGCCATCGTGCGGTGAGGTTAAGTACTTATCGGACCGCCCTCGTATATCATATCATTACGATTAATTGTAGCATAAGAAAATATGCACAAGTCGTGAAGCATAGTACAATTGTAGAGAAATATCACAGCGTATCTACCTACAGTATCTATCTACTCGGGCAGAGCGGTACATACCAGGTATGTAAATATGAAATGTATAGAAAATACACGTTTATTGTATGAAAATGATAAAAAATATTTTATTCGAAATATTACCCATCGCTAGCTATACATTTTTCCCACCTGTCTGACAATTTGTGGATGCCACGTCAAAAAAAACTGTTGCTCTTTTGAGGCAAACCAGTCATCGAGCATTTCATACATTTTCGTAAGAAGTGAAGCGCTGCTCAGCAAGTGCGTGTCCCATCGATGCAAATAAGTAGTAATCAGATGGAGCCAAGTCTGGTAAGTAAGCCGCATGCAAAAGTATTTCCCAACTAAACGCCTCAATCGTTTCCTTGACCAGTTTTGCTGTGTGTAAGGGTGCATTATCATGAAGCAAAATCACTTTGTGTTGCCTTTTTTGATATTCTGATCGTTTTTCACGCAAAGCTTGATTCAAATCGATCATTTGTTGTCGGTAGCATTCAGTATGAACGGTTTCGCCAGGTTTTAGTAGCTCATAATAGATCACCCTTCTGATCCCACCAAACACAGAGCATTGTCTTCCGTCCATAGCAATTTGGCCTTGCAGTCGATGTCGATGGTTCGCCTGGAGTTACCCATGATCTTTTACGCTTAGGATTCTCAAAATATATCTACTTTTCACCGCCAGACACAATTCGATGGAGAAATGACTTTCTTTTGTACCTAGTGAGCAGCATTCCGCAAGTGGTTTTTCAGTTTTCCTGCTGTCTTTCATTCAGTTCATGTGGAACCCATTTTCCCATCTTCTGGATCTTTCCCATAGCTTTCAAACGTATGGAGACGGCTTCTCGTGTCATATTTAATTAATCCGCGAGTTGTTGTTGCGTTTGAGCGTCATCCTCATCCAACAATGCTTGCAATTCGCTGTCTTCAAATTTTTTCGGTGGTCTTCCACGTTCTTCGTTTCTCACGTAAAAATCGCCACGTTTGAATTTTTTAAACCATTCAAAGCACTGTGATTTACCAAGAGCATGCTCACCGTAAGCTTCGACAAGCATTCGATGCGATTCTGCAGCAGTTTTCTTCAAATGACAGAAAATCAATGCTGTCCGCAAATCGTAACTTCCAGGCACAAAATTCGATATATTCAACGCTATTACAAACAATGCTGTTGTATGAAACTTGTATTGTTGTGAGTTGAAAATCTTTGTCAGATGTCAACAAATGGAAATGGCGCCAATGACGCGGTTTGACGGTAACTACATTGACAACTAGAGCCATCTATGG